AAGGCGGTGAAGATTATTTTAACTATAAAACTCATAGGCGGTGAAAGCTTCTTCCAATAGAAATAATCTTGGRCGGTGGATAAATCATTATAAAATTCATGATTTCTTAACCATGAAGATATAATAATTTYACCCSAATACAATAAACACCACCTCATGTATGCTTCATACCACATGCATACATGTATAAATCRTATATGTCATGCACAATATCATGTTCACATATATGGTTCATGCATTTCTACTTAGATATGCATATTTCACGTAATTCACATAATAAACATGTATAAATTACCTCAACTCAGGTTGTCTCAAACCTAGTTATAACATTCAGAGCTTGAGCAGATAGAGGAAAGGTGAAGATTATACGATACAAACTCTAAGAGGGTGTTTGGTTCATGGAATTTGGTGGAATTGGAAGGAATTGGAATGTCCAAATCATTGACCAAATTTCAAATCCCATGTTTGGTTCACATAATAGATGTGAAAGAATCCTTCCAATTCCTTAATTCATTGATTTCACAATTCTAACGCATATACCACGGATTTCAAATTCCAATCCGACAAATTCCTTAGCCCTCATCCATTCATCGACGTTGTATCTCGATTTTCTCTGTTCTGCTATGCTCGATCTCCTTTGCTCGAACTCGTTTAAAACTAAGAATGACAACGGGCCAGGTTCGGGCCGGTTATTGGTATCTCCGTCCTAGAAACCGATAACTAAAACCGTTCCCATGACCGTCCTGATCCCCGTCGGGGATCTTATCGGGTCCCACGGTTTCCCCGATCCCCGTTGGGGAATTCGTGAAGGTAAAAATCCTCTTTTTCCCGTTCACCGTTGGTTGTAACCGAACCCGAAACCGAAACCCGAAACAGATCTAAAAATCCCCGAATTTAATATATTATATATATATATGTATATAAATTAAAATTAATATATATATACATATCAAGCCGGGCCGGGCTGATGATCACTGTCCCCGCCCCCCGTCCCCGTTAAAATCCCTGAATTTGTCCCCGATCCCCGCCCCGTCCCCGATAAGATGTCCCCGAACCCAGCCCGAAAGTTTCGGTTTTAGTTTTTTTTGTCTGTAATTTTCTCGTTGAATTTCGTGAACGAAACAAAAAAGATTATAATTCGGTTAAGAATTCCATTCCAATTCCATCCAACCAAACGCAGTCAAAAGACATGGTCAAATTCCATCAAATTCCATTCCCTCAAAGTCAAATTCATTTGATTAATTCCAATTCCATTAAATTCCATTCTACGAACCAAACGTCCCCTAAGAAATAAATAGTTTAATATATTCTATTGTTTCAATATAATCTGATTTTGGTGTATTTAATATTTATAATGTGTAAAAGAAGAAGGTTCTTAGCACTTTGAAGTTCGATCTTCTTTTTGGTTCGTATACATAATGATTTTGTTTGATGAAGACGAATTTGTAGAAATTACCAGTTCTGAACAATAATTGTCTTGCTCATGTTATCAATTTTAGTGGGATTGGATTAATTTAGTTTGTGACTGAAAGTTGTAAATTAAAAATAAAATTGGTTTTTTACCTATAGCAATGACCTGTCGTTGCAGTAGGTATATAGTAATTCTTTTTTCATTTTTGACCTATAGCCACGACATCGTTGTAGGTATATAATTAATTTTTCATTTTTGACCTATAACAATGACATATCATGGCGGTAGATAAAAAATCGAATTCTTTATTTAATATCTACTGCGATGACATGTCGTTGTTATAGGGACCTATGACTACGGCCTAATAGTGATGAACGCTACAGCAACGACTATCATCGCAATAGATCTATGCGACGATAACTGAACCATTAGTCGTCGCAATAGAGTAGATTTGTTGCACTTTTCAAAAGAATTTATATAAAATAATAATAATTCAATCTTATTGATGAGAATTAATAAAAAAGCCATTATCAAGTTTTTGATAAATTCTCTAAACTTATAGTTTTCTGCATTTTAAAAAATAATATAGAGAATTTGTTGGAATAAAATAGATAACAAAATTTCAATTTTTTTATTTTGAATAATTTATTAGAAATGCTTTTAATATTAATGATAACTAGAAGGGTACTCATAGAATGTAAAGAGATATATCTTCATTTTAATGTTTCGTTTTATTTTTTGTCTTTCTTGATATAACACGATTTATGTGGTTTTGAGAAAGAATATATTTTTACGATTTAGTGAAGTGATTTATTTTTGGCTTAACAATAAAATTTTATAAAGATAATGATTCTATTAGAACTCAATGATTATCCTAATTATATTTCAGATTTTTATATAAAAAATGAGATGTTTATCCTGTATTTGATTATGTTTATCTACAATTATTTATACAAATTCAAAAATGAAGTTTTAATAAGTTGTACTTACGTATAATTTACTTGTAATATTAAATTTTAAATAATATATGTACTAGTACACAGTACTTCATGCATAAAAAATGATTTTTAAGAGTTTTTGTCATATGCTTTATATAGTACTAGTTGTGTACCCACGCAATACGACAGGAACCATGAATTTTAACGATTTTGAAGTTCCACTGATTTTATAAGATATGATTTAACGATGATATAGGTTACACTTGGTCTTTACATATTAATACAATTTGAATAAATAAGAGTTATGGTTCCAATTACAGATTATCTATGAAAAAAATTGTATGACAGTTTAAAATCCAATATATTTAAAATCCAACATATTTAAACGACTCCACAAATGTNTTTAAAATCCAACATATTTAAACGACTCCACAAATGTATTTGATTTACACCAAGAGCAAAGAACCAAGAAACTTGAGTTTTAAGATAAACACTCAAAACCAATAAAGAAAACTACAAATTTGACAGATCATAAACCATGAAAAAACCAAAAATATGGGTTTTAGAATGAAATTTCAACTGTTTATCCTCTTTCTTGTCCAGAAACTCAGATTAAGGTTGAATTAATACATGTATATATATATTTCAAAAAAACCCAAGAACATATTAACTCAGAACATATTATACAGTGCAATTTAGATAGCCTAACCCCAAAATGTATAGCATATATATAAATAAATAACTATAAAAGTATAAATCGTAAACATTAAAAATATTTTTTTTCACAGTATATATAATATATAATAATATGATTAAGTAAAAAATTATTCAATATTAGACTCATTTCGAAGATGTTAACAAGACGATTATAATGGTGTAACTTGTTAAAATAAAAATATATATTTTAAACATGTTTTAATTGATATACGATTATGTATGTTAATTTGATAAATGTTTAAAATGAAACATTTAAAAGTAAAGGACGTAAAGTAATTAATTAACTAATTATAGAGATATAAAGTGTAAATTTAAAATTATAATTTGAGAAGGTGAGTGTATGTGAGGAGAGGAAGAGGTGAAAAAGTGAAAAGAGTATATTGATCATTTAGTATTTTAAAACTTTAAGACTTTTGCTAAATTTGCTTAAATAGTATAAATAGATTGACAAGACATTGAACATTTTAATAAAAAAGTTAAATAAAAAAAATTCAAAAACTATATTTTTTACAAAATTATAATATGTTTTCTCGATCTTTTTTTTACAAAATCAGTGTATTTGAGAAGTAGTATCTTGATTAAATAATAAAATTGTCTATTCCTTAACATAAACAATCTAATTTCTATCTTCTTTTTTCACACATCATCTAACTTTTATCAATGATGCATTATATTTTTAATTTGACTATTTTTCATAATTTATACTATATTATAAAGCATTTGATAAAAACTCATTTTTTATGTATGAAATACTGTTTATTAATGCATATTACTTAAAATTCAAGATTAAAAATAAATTGTGTGTAAGTACAACTTATTAAAGCTTCATGTTTGAATTTGTGTAACTAACTGCATATAAACATAATTAAATACAAGATAAACATCTCATTTTAAATATAAAAAATCTAAAATACAATTAGATAATTATTGAGTTTTAACATAATACTTAATTATTATTTTTATTAAAAATTATATATTATTAAACCTAAATTAAATTACTTCGTTACATTAAATTAAATTATAACAAAAAATTTGAATTAAATAAATTACATAAAACAAGTGTTTTTAAAATGTTAATTTGATACTAATATCGATATAGTTTTTTCAAAATTTTATGATATATTTAATTTGTATTTTGTTTAAAAATAAAAACATTATCATTTTCTCAAAACACATAAAATCGTATTATGTCGACATAGATAAAGGATAAAACGAAACACTATTTCGATTCATTGCATGAGTACCTTTCTAGTAATTAATAATATAAAGGATATGTGAAATAAAAAGGTTGTCTTATCCAAAACTCCGATTATGACATTTATTCAATAACTTCATACCTCGGAACGTGCCGTTCTTACAGAGATGAATGCGTTTTGTCATCTTGTTAACCCGAGATGGCTGGGGAGAGCAAATGTTCCCTTTTTAAGGGTACTATCGGGTACATATTCAGTGGAGATGGAGTCGAACCTGTAGCTGAAAGGATTAGAGCACATGACTACAAACTACAGTCGTATTGTTAGCTATTCAAGTATTTAACGAGCTAATCCAGTTCCAACTTAATAATTATCGAGCTCCAATCAATTTTGAAAACAAAATAAAGCTCTTTTAATCTAATAAGTCGAGTTCCATGACAATAGTGTTCAACGTGACTTGTTTAAAGGTTAAATTACAATTTTCCAGCAGAGTCGAGCCATACATACATACATTTCTTTTGAACGGTACATGTTTTTTTTGCTTATAAATCGTAAAATTAAAATATAAATATTATCGACTTCAAACTATTAAACAAGTTAATAAATTCAAGTTTGAGCACATAAACCACAAATAAAGTTCTATGAGGGGGTTTATTGCGAAGAGTACTAAAGCTTGAGGGTGCAAAGTGTCATTAATAGTTTCTATACCAATATTTTGGCACAATTTGACCAGCAGTCAACATTACAATTCCGCCAACACAAATATTTTTGCTAGACAGCACCAAAGCTTCCCCCTCGTCGCCGATTTCGTCATCCGACGCGCCGCCGCTGCCAAACCCTAATTCTCTTGCCGTAAGTTATCTTCACTGAATGTATACAGAATTAACTCGAAAAACGGTCTTTTGAGGGAATTTATGCATATATCTTGATGTTTTGTTATGCTGAATACATATCTTGTTTTGATTAAATAGAAGAAGAAGAAGAAAGGCTAAGATGTCGACGTCGTTGACGGAGGAAGAAGTCAAGAGGTTGTTTAGAATAAGGAAAACGGTGATGGAGATGTTGAAGGACAGGAATTATTTGGTTGGAGATTTCGAGCTGGAGATGGATAGAAGGCAGTTTATACACAAGTATGGAGACAATATGAAACGTGAAGACCTTGTTATCAGTAAATCCTTAAAGAATGATAGCTCCGAACAGGTGATGGTCTTGTTTTTACCAAATAATTACGATATATGATTTTGTGATTCAACTGTGTTGAAAATTTCATATCCTGGAGTCTATAGAATGTGATTTTGTATATGTTCTGCTCTTGTGAAATACTTCTGCTTGTTATAAGTTCGTACCAATTGCCTATCTGCAATTACTGTTAGTGACATTGGTTTTTATTTAGCTGTATTGATGGAATTGTGATTGTGGAGAAGATGGTGTTATTTTGTTGTATACAACTTCTTTCCATGTACAAAAGAACAAGAAGCAGAAAACATCAACTTTTGGGTTAGAGTAAATAGGTAGTTTTAAGAATTGATTAGTTACTGTGCATAACGAAGCATTACCCTATATGAAACTCCATTTGCAACGATTTGAAGGTTGTCCTCGGTTCCAGAGGGTTACTCGTTTAGAAACGAGGGCACCTACTTGCAAGTGTATTTGTGATCCCCTTCTCCCCTGTGAGTCCGTTACCTTCTTTTGTATATGCATTCTTGCTAGAAAATGAAAACATAGCCAATAGGGCACCTCTCATGGATGGTTTCAATGGTGAATTTGACTAGATCTTTTAATAGTGAGAGAGTAGATGAGTTATATAAGCTATTGTAACTACTTTCAGCTGTGAAATATGTTTGGTTTGAGAATCATGGGTATTAGTGATGTTTGTAATAATAGATATCTGAAACCAAAAAGGTCAAAGCTCTACTTGAACAAAGAAACACCTTAATAATGAACCCTAATCTAGGTAAGTTCTGATAAAGCAAATAATTGCATTCAAACCTTATTTTTCTAGTGGTGGTGCTATTAGTTAATTAATGTTTTAGCTTTTGTTAAAAATTTATTATTTTTTGTGACTAAGGGTATTATCTAGCGTAAAGGCTTCTCCCTATATATTAGTAACTAGAAGTTTAAACAACATTCCCCCTTTTCCATGTAAGTCGAAGACGAAGAAGCCAATATCATTTGTTCTTTGTTTTTCTAATTTATTTTGGTGTTATGTTTGTCATGTGAGCCTCTAAAAAACTTGGTATTCTACTGTGTGATTTTGATGTGCTTGTAGTTGACAGTTTCTTTAGGATACTTGTTCTGATGAAAACATGAATGTGGAAATGGTTTATAAAATGCTGCCAATCTTAATGATTATCACCTCCCTTCCCATTAGACTTTGTGTGTCCATATTTTAAAATGGGTTCTTATCTACCAGATCTATGTCTTCTTCCCTGATGAAGCAAAAGTTGGAGTCAAGACAATAAAGAATTACATCAACCGTATGAAGTCAGAGAATGTTACCCGAGCAATCTTGGTTGTGCAGCAAAATCTAACGCCTTTTGCTCGAACTTGCATTAGTGAGATATCAACGAAATTTCACCTGGAGGTTTTCCAGGTCAGCTATGCTTTATCCTTTCTTGTATATATAAGTAACTTTGGCCTTTAATTCCTGACCTAGGTATATATGTGGCTAGTAATCGATTTTATGCTAAGAAGCTATAATGAAAATATTTAAAGATCCAATTACTATAATTTTATTATGCCTCTATGATGTGAATTTGTAAGATTCACCTACAAGTTGAAGAGTTCTGATTGTAAATATATGTGTAAACCTAGAACTATGAACTCAGCAAAGCTTCCAACCAAACAATATTAGAGATGCATGCAAACCTATATGGGCCGTTTTAAGAAGGATATTACACGGATTCTGTGTTGTGTTTCTGTATATCCATTTTGATTGGAAGTACCATTTTACAATAGGATTAGACCAAAGGCTAATCAAAAGTACCTATCGCTTTCTTGTTATTTTGTGAAGGATATACAGGATGATATACCATAAGATATACAGGATGATATACCATAAGATATACTTTTTGTCAATGATGTTCTGTTGATTGATGAAATATTGGGGATAATTTCCACAAACCAATGTAGAAATGTCCCAAACGATGTGGTCAAAATGTGCAAAGTTACAACCCAACAATCAATATGGAATAAAGAGATCCCAAATGCGTTCAAACAACAAATAAATGGAAGGAACACAAAAAACAGACGACTTAACATGGTTCCACTATCGTGAGATACTATAAATCCACAGGGAGGAGACAGAGCTTTCAATGATCAAATGGAAGAACAAATACAATAAGGTTTGCCTTTAACAAAGATCCTACAATCTCAAGGTAAAACCCTCTTTAATGCACTCAACGTTTCTACCAAAATCGTCTACAGAGAAAGGTTTTCCAAGAACACATCAAACCGTAACCAAAATGGGGCTTAAACCTGTCTAGAGGCTGCCCGTGATCGTGGGTGAAGTTGTGGGCTAAGTCGTGGATGCTGCTGGAGTACAGGGTGGGGGCATATCACAATATTTCAAGATGAGATTAGACATTAGAAATTCTCTGGAAAACATTATTCACATTTAGTTATTAGGTTGATTACTGATTAGTATAGTAGATATGAACTGAAACTTAAACTTTGTTGCTAGGGAAGTTCAAGATGTGGTAAATATGTGCAAGTAGAATGTAACTAGACAGTGCTCTAATCAGTGGTGGAACACAAGCCTTCAGACCACAGTGGCCGGACCCAGTCTTCGATATATTTTTTCGAAAACAAAAAAATACAATCCAACATTATAACATATTCTAAAACAAGATACTAAATATGATACAATGTTAATCGAAGTGGAACTCGTAAATTTTTTGTGGTTCTGAAGTCTCTCACAATATTCTCCAAACTGATCTTTTCAAATAATTTCCCTTTCGATATCTTAAATTTCTTTTTGAGCTTTTTTGCAAGGGTTCTTAGTAATTCGAACACTAAATGTAGGGGTATCCTCTATCCTTGTTGTCTCTTTGGAATCTTGAGATGAACTAGCATGTTTTCCTATAAAAACTCACAAATAGTAGCAAAGGCGGAGGCTTATAGGCAGTAAGATAGCGTTTGGTATGCATACATGATTGGACTGGACAGGACTAGACAAGAGGGTAGGACTGGACAGGCTGGTGTTTGGTACGACTAGGACTGGATAGGATAGAACTAGACAAGTTGCCCCTAAAAGTTATTTGATGATTTTATATATCATATAATAGTTAAATAGTTATAAGGGATACAAATAAAGTAATTATTTAAATAATATAATTCATGAACATTTCACACAATTTTCATGAACATAAATACATACACTTATAGACGAAGGATCGTGTGAGAATAAGAGTTAAAGTGAGAAGTTTAAGAAGGGATTTGGACCCTTGATCAGTTTTAATCTCAAACCAACCCATGAATTATGTTTTAGAAGGGAATTGATCTGGTGCTTCTCATTAGTGTTGATCTAGTGGGACTCTTCAATTAGGATTGATCCAAGGGTGGAGATCCCATCTTACCCTTCTCATCATAACTCTCATTCTCATCAGAACCCAACCCTACATATATAATAGTACCTAACTTGATTGAATATTTTGATATAATTGATGGTAGTTCAAAAAAATCTGATTCGTACATAGGAAAACTATGTTTATTCAGTTTGGAAGATCCTTATTAATTGGTAGAGGCACGGTGAAGATTGTTGCAGGAAACAATGGTTGTCGAGGTAGAGGTAGTGGTGATGATGGTGGCTGTAGAGGACGTAAAGATGGTGGATAGTGGTGGTCGACAGTGGTGGAGGAGGTAGTTGTGGTGGTGGGCAGTGGTAGTGGTAGCCAGTGGTGGTGGCCGATAGTACTAGTGATGGTGGTGGTGGCCGATATTACTAGTGATGGTGGTGGTTGGTTATCGACGGTGGTTGTAGAGGACGTGAAGATGGTTGACAGTGGTCGAGATAGTTCTGGCCGATGTAGTGGTGGTGGTGGTGGTGGCGGTGGTGATGGACGATGGTGGTCGGTGGCCGACGGTGGTTGTGGAGGTGATGGAAGAGATTGTTGTAGTGGAAGATGAGGTGTAGGTGGCCGATGGTGGCTGCGACTAGCGGTGGTTACCATTAAAACAAATATCATATTAAGGTTATATCAAACAAGGGTAGTTAGTAATATTTTAGTTTCTGTCTCATCCTTGTTGCATCTTGTACCACCTATTTTGGTGGAACAAGAAAAACCCTATTTTGTCTCGGATTGTGCCGGTTCTTGTTCTTGTCCCTGTCCCATGTTGAGCCAAACTTTGGAACAGTGAGTTCTTGTCCTATCCCATGTTGTGCCAAACGTGGGGCAGTGAGTTCTGTCCTTTCCCATGTACCGAACACAGCCTAAGGGCCAAGGCCCCACTGTTTTTTAACTAATTAATGGACTTGTCTTTATTTGCAAATGTTAGTGTATTAAATTTTCATTTGAGTCCCTACTTTATCCCGTCAGAATTTCAACTTTATCCACCAAAACTTCTAAGAGCAAAGGCCGAAGCGGCAAATTTTAATATATTTCAAGACACTTGAGTTTGAATGACTTCATGATTCACAATTTTTTCATCTTTGTATGCAACTCTGAAGTTTGAACGAGATTATGACTGGAGGGAACTAGGAAAGAACCAAATCAACAAGGGGAATAGAAAGTACAAAGCTTCGTCTATTTTTGCCCTAATTTCTCAAATTTTGTTTTAAAGTATGTGTTTTTGTTTGTGTATTGACATTAATCTACTTCTAGTGTTATACTAACTCATCTAAATGAAACTCATTGATTTTGTGATTTTTGGTTTTGGTAAATCAAATAGTGAAATAAAGAACCCATTGAGATCATATGTTCTGAATATCAATATGACAATATGTTCTAAATTTTTATGTAAAATGTAATTACTAGTCTAGGTATGATCTCAATGTGTTTTTTCTTTCACTTTTTTAACCAAAACAAAAAGTAGAAATCACAAATGCCAAAATCAATAACAAAATCAATGAGTTTTACACAAATTGAGATGAGTTAATATAATACTAAAAATAGATGAATGCCAATTACACAAACAAAAACACAAATGAGTTTTGGGACAAAAATAGGGGCAAAATCAGTGTTCAAATAAAGCTTGCCGCAACAGCCGCTGTGGTTTAAGGCTCGTGTCTCATGCCACGTTAAGCCTGTGGCACGCCATAACCTAATGCACGGTTTTTATAATGCAATATTTGGTTTTTCTTGCTTTTTTTAGTGTCTTATTTGTTAGTTTCTAATGTATGACCTAATTTAAATAATCAAGTATCATTGACTCATTGAGTAATAATAGAAAATATATGTTTATATGTATAATAACTTATATGATATAAAGATTTGCTAGCATAAGTCACGCCTTGAAAACACCGCTGCCTCGCCATGGCTCCTAAGGCTTGAGACTTGACCTCGTCGCCACGCCACACCTCACGTGCAAAATTAGACAAAACCATTGTACTAGTATTCTTTCGGTTCTTCACTAGTTCTCTTTCATTCAAACTTCAGAGCTTACAAAGGTGAAAAAATGGTGAATCGTGAATTTGTTCAAACTCGACTGTGTTCCAATGTTCATAGATCGCAATGGTAAATGACAAAAGTTAAAATTCTGGACTGGATAACGTGGGGGCCAAATGAAAAAATTCAAAAATTTACTTGTGCAAGTAAAGCCAAATTCTATTTACTATGGGCCTCTGGCCATAGCAATTCCTGCTCAGTGCCTCTTAATGGCCGCCTAGATGTTAAGCGTACTCCTACGACTAGTTAGGCTGCTTAATTTGTTGCCAAGGTGCTAAGCGTCCTCCACTGCTTTTTCGAATTAAACATTGCAACAACTTATTGGTGGATCAGTCGAGCTTTCTCTACTTGGAGATAAGGTTTTCGTGTTTTCCTGTGTAAATGCAACACTGACAGTTTCGTTTGGAAAACTGATTATATCAAAATAATGTAGGAAGCAGAATTGTTGGTGAACGTAAAAAATCATGTTCTAGTGCCTGAGCATCAGGTTCTTGCAAACGAAGAGAAGAAGACTTTACTCGAGAGATACACAGTAAAAGAAACACAGGTCGGTTCATTTTTCTTTTCTCATTGTTTTCAAAATAACAAATGTCGTGAATGTGTTTGAAACGTGTGGTTGCAGCTGCCTCGTATTCAAGTGACTGATCCCGTTGCTAGATATTATGGACTGAAGCGTGGGCAGGTTGTGAAAATTATTCGACCCAGTGAGACTGCTGGTCGTTACGTCACTTACCGGTACGTTGTCTGAATTTCAGATCACTGTGAATTTGGATCTACCTTTGTTCTGTTGTAACAAACCAGTTTTTACTGAAGATTACCCCTTTCTTAATTTATTTGTAATGTTACATTCATCAATGTTGTATTAAATTAACTAACCTCTTTTAATTTGTTTTGTAACGTTACGTTCATCTCAAATTGTATCAAATTGGTTTCCGTTATTCGAGTTTGTTCAATTTGTGTACCTCGTTGGTTGATAGTGGAACCACGTTAATCTTCGTATCTTGTTTTGCATGCCACAACTATATTTGGTTGTTCTTGGTTTATATTGCTTGCGGTTAGTTTATTGTGGATGGATCGTCATTTATTGTTGCTAGACTCGATATTTCCGCATTGTTGGTTGGATTTTGCGAGCATTGTAAACCCGAATACGCTTTCGTGACCAATTTTCAGTCAAAGTAATTTTGCTTGCGTGAGTCCATGAAACTGTGATTTGATTAAATAAATCTGTAACTTGTTTAAAAGAAGTAGAGCTAAAAGTGGAAAATGCAAAGTTGAAGTGTAAAAATACAACTGTTCTTTTAAAAATTCATGCTTTACGCAAACGTTACAGAATACAGATCACAACAAAGATGGGTCATACGTTCAAATTGGGCCGATCAAAGATTGATTAGACCGGTTAAGGCCTAATGCTTCGGAACTGGTTATTAGGGCTGTTCAAAAAATCGTTGGACCGCTCAAGCCAAGTCAAGCCGGACCGTTTTTGACTATTTGAACTTTTTTTGAGCGGTTTAGACCGAACTGACTGTCAAAATACACAAGTATTAATTATATTTAGTTTTCCATTTGTTGACTCAAAACTTTTATGTGACCGAACCGACCGCCAAAATACACGTATACTAATTATATTTTAGTTTTCATGTTGTAGACTTTATTTTTATGAACCAATTAAAAAAAGTCGCCCCAAACATGAAGTCTTTGTTTTTCACTTCTCAATTGTACGTATTCCCTAAATCAACAAAATTATGAAATTCATCAAAAATCAAAATTAAAAATTCGTAACCATTCTTTGACTCGTGATCAATAATAAATTAATAATCCCAATAGTCGTAATTATAAAAAACGTGTATAACATTTTTTGTGTAAAAAGATTTAAAGTGTACTTTAATGGTCCAATCAAATATTTTAAAGTGTATTTCAATAAGATATCGTTTAAGAAAAGATAAAAAAATATTTAAAATTGATTTTTGAAGAAAAAATTTGGGACCGATCATGAGCTTGACCCGGGACTATTTTTAGGGACCGTCGGGCTTTATACATGGAACGGACGGGATGTTTTTGGTCGAAACTGGACCTGTTACTATGGAACTGCTCGAAGCAGGACCCATTTTTAACATCTCTAGATATATAACAAAGCTGATGTATCAAATTCATGCACTTAAAAAGTAAAGTTGAATGAGTGCTGATTAGAGTGTCATGCAATTAAGATATGTGGCTACTTATTGATAGGAATCTTTATGGCATCTATACTCGAAAATATAATCGTAAGTTTTCATGTTGTAATTTTTTTGGAGGCTTTGTTATATTTAAAACTTTTGATTACATTGTATAAATAAGATAACAGATAATATATGTTAAGAACAAAAATTTGCTAAACCTAAAACGATTAACAATCTAAAACTAAATCTAAATCATTAGTGATTTGAACTTAAAACCAAACAATAATGATTTGAACCTAAATAACTTCGGCTATAGTCTTACACGTAGGTTGATAAAAGACCCTAAACACATGTAAATCTGGGCCCCAAAATTTCGGAGGCCCTATTCAAAATCTCACATTTAACATGTTAAGGAACGACCTTGGTCAAAAGGTCTTTTGCGCGATGATGATGTAAAAAATATTTAAATCAACTAATTTATTGTAATAACTATCAGATTTATTATCGTAAGATATTGTTTTATAATATTTTTTTATCTAAGACTATAATTTAGTATATTGATTAACATATATTTGTTTCACAATGTGCTTGTTTTATGTGTACATGGTTTACAATGTGAAACTTTTTAGTTGTATTTTTTATTTTAGAAACAATAAAAAAATGTTTACATTACACTAAATCTAAGCTGTAGATGAAAAAAACATATGAAATAAAACATGATATATCAGTTTTCAAGATCATTATAACTTTATGGACTTTCAAATGAATACCTGTTTATAACACACACACACACACACATATACACACACACACACATATATATATATATATATATATATAGTTTGTTTAAAATGCAACTCATCACATTTGTACAAACAATGCAACCCAATAAATTAAAATATTTATGGAAATAATAAGAGTTCATTTATTATTGTTTAAATATTTATGGAAGATGAATAAGACTCATTAATTATGATCAATACTTTATATTATGAAACAATTAAAACTTTTATGAAATTACATATTTATCAAATTAAATGAACGGTTGAGATTGAGTTGTATTAATTGTACAAATATAAGAAATTATATAATAATCCACTTCAATATCTATATCTATATCTATCTATCTATATATAATACACACTGTATTTATATATACACCCACATGTTATATTATTCAACATAATATGATCTATCTATAAAAGATCTGCATCGGGCATAGCGACGTATATATTAAAAATCTGGTAACAAAATTCAATATAGATTCATCCATACTTTCAATATATAATTTTGTTGTTTATAAATATATGAATTAAAATTTATATGTTTTATTATTATTTTCTCCATGCCCTACATTGTTAATATAATTTTTTGGTTTAATTTAATTATTATTACTACCAAGTTTTATATAATTATACCAAATGGCCTTTGGCCTAACAGTATCGTAGCATTTGGCTTCCTAGGAGATCAGAGGCTCAAACCTCACCAAGAGTGAGGAGGGTGTATGAATTTATTTGTTACATTTGTCATATATAAATATTATATAGTTTTATATAGAGCCAACCAATGACGATAGAAAAAGGTTTTAAAATGCATATTTAAAAATCGAAGTAAAAGAGTTCTTGATAATGTTTCTCACATTGATGGAAAACGATATTTGTGAAGTGCGATGGGGATTGCGTGACAACCAAATGGATAGAGATTGAAATTTATAAGCGTCTTTTAAATTGTAGGTTTTGGGTTATTAATATCTACGATGGTATCAAGTTAATTTGAAGGTTATTGTATCAACCTACTACTTTGTGATATTACTGAAGCATAGAGAAATATAATTAGAATGAAAACACAAAGAAAAAGAATCGTCTCAATATATACCTTCGTTTTTCAGTCATGGTTTCGTTGTCCCAGACATATCTCGGACCTTTCTAAGAAAATTGTCGACATACTTTTCATAGCTAACTTACAAGTATTAAATTATGAGATTCGATATGTATATGTATATGTATATGTATATGTATATGTATATGTATATGTATATGTATATGTATATGTATATGTATATGTATATGTATATGTGTGGTGTGAGGATGTTGGTTTTTTGTTTACATCATGAATAGATGCAAGTGTGGATTTTGAATAGTGGAGTTGAAGTTCGAAGAAGCTACCTTTGGTGCGTATGTAGTAGTTGAATGCTTTTGAAGCATCTTCACACATGGGTGAGGGTTTTCTTTGTGGTTTCCAAGGTCCAATAATCCTCCTAAAATATTTACATACACTTGCTTCCTCTCTCTCTTTCCCTCCTCCCAAATTTCTCTCTTACTTTTTTTCTTTAATCAGGAGACAAATAAGAGTGTGACACATGTCCCAAAAGTTACAAGATATTCATTATGAATGGGTATATCATTCATCATGAATGGTGTATCAAATTCTTCATGAATGATGTAAAAAATTCGCGATCATTATTTACAGTTAATGGGAACACGTTTCGCGCTCTTTTCTTCTTCTTCTTCGGGTGTACAATGGAAAACAAGTTTGCAGCCGACCTTTACTAGACATATGATCTGATATGATTCAAGTAAGAAAACTAATTACCGTGAAAAGGTAAAAATACATGTGAATCATTGAAAAAATGGGTGAAAGTATGTTGGAAGATGCATATGTGAATCATTGTTATAAATTGTTTACATGAGTACACATATGTGTCTTCGAATAGATTTTTTAAATGATTAACATATATTGATATCACATTCCTTAATTATCGCATTTGAGGATGGAAAAGAAATTGAAAAGGAGGACTCTTTTATCCTTGAATAAAAATTGCTAAGTTTGTTTTATACATGTTCAACTACATTCTTTTTCATATAGTTTGTACTTTTTCTACTATAACTACTGATTAAATTACTTTTAGTACTTTTTAGGTGGTGACTGTTTAACTGTTAAAGATTATGGAGGTTCTTGATCAAAACTTGAGACGTCTGAAATTGGCAGTAGCATGGTGGAGCCATGGAAATGTGAATATTAATATTATACATAAAAAATAGGAATGCATTATTGATTTTTATGGAAGTCTGACTTTTGTTTTTCATTTCTTTCTCCACTTGTTGAGATCCATGTGTCACTTTAATTGCTTAAAATTTTAACTGCAACGATGTTTTTCTTTTACTTTTTGATTCCACATTTCTTAATTAATTGTTAGTGATCAAGTTTATAGATTTATAAGAGTTACAATTTTTAGGCCTCTTAGCCCGTGGGCAAGCCCAAGCCGTTTATAGGGTGGGCAATGACAAGTTGTTAAGCCCGCAAAAAAGGGTTTGTGTTTACAATATTAGACCTATTGGACAAAAAAAAACAAGCTAGGCCCGGCCTGAGACCCGTAAATGATCACCTCTAACATATACATATATATATATATATATACATATGTATACATATGCATATGCATACATATATACCTAACAAGATTAAGTGAATACCTAAAATTGTGGTCATTTTATTTCTATCTTTCCATACATAACCGAAGAAYRGAAAAGATTCTTCAAGCGTCTCAGGTCCTAAAAGTGCATAATAAATACCGCCAAAACCCAATACTGTAGAGAAATTTAAATGAAGTACTCCAGATACAAAGTATGGAAAAATATCTATAACTTCCCCACCAGGACCAACCCCCCAACCTAGAGTAGCTAGGTGGGAAAGTAAAATTAATATATATGTATATATAGGTAGCGGCTCATTCAAGAAAGAACTGACTAGTTTGTAGTAACCTTTAGATCGAATCTCAACCACAAATCAATATATAAATTAAGAAATTTATAATTTTGGTAATTTTGAATTAAATTTTTTAA